GTAGAATATATCACCAGTTCACGATAATCTTTTTCAGTATTTCAGTATTTTGCAGTATCTATTGAAAACAATAACTGCTCTTCAACGAACAATGTCTTCTGTGTCAATTAACTCATTAATGAACTATGCCTCCTGCGGGTACTCTTCAGCAACAGGGCTGTTCCCACTTTCATCGTAGGGATGGGGAAGCACCACCTATGTGCACTGAACCATTAATTAATGTGTCTCACAACTGGGAGTTCTCACAAATGGGAGGACACCTGCCCGTGACATTGCTGGAATATGGCTGATGGCAGGTAAAAACTATACTCACACAAATTGCAATATTTATGGCGGTGTGTTTATCAGTCAATTTAAATATTATTCTTTCTCCACAGTATATCCGTTCCACATCCAAACCATGCCGGGCACTCTCAGTTGCCTACAATACAGTTGGGGAATGCTGGCTGGGAGGGGGAGTCAAGCCAGAGGTGATATTCGTCTTGAACGTTTACTACTCACTATGGGTACTGACAAACCTTGAAACGCTATCATGGCGGATCCACGACCATATGCTTCTGGTCTCTTCTGCACTCTACACACCCAACATGTGTTATTATTTTCCAATCATTACAATCAATTTTTGACAAATTAACACCAAACACGCATCAACATCTGCCTCTGCCACCTGCATGACACCTGCATGAGTGGCAACTGATAACGACTACAGGTGCAGTCAGCAGACAGAGCAATACTCGTGTGACTAACACGTTATGTATCCCATGCAGTAGCAGCTGCAGCAACCTTATCTTGTACAGGAACAGTGGAAACCACATAAAACAACAATATAAGAAATTGGTGTTGGAAGCTCACCTTATAAAGGTCGTGCTGGATTTTGTTTCAATCCATCACTTTAAGAAATATTCATCCAAAATTAACAGAGTTTAAATATCCAAAGAAACATCATTTAGATATTTGCACGCGCGCATTTCTGCATGCTCAGTTGTGACATCACATTCTGTGGCAGAAGAATTTACTAAATACCACACATCGCATGTCAAAATGATGTGCGATGCTGTCCAATACCATGGCAATCACAGGGAGATGACACGTCACCGGCACTAGCGTTAACAGAACGGGTGGTCAGGCTCGGCCGGCGAAGTTTGGACGTGACCAGTGCCGTATCTAGGGCATGGTTCAGGTAGCGATGGGAAATTGCTAGTGTCAGCTATTTATACTGCCCTCTGATGGAAGAACCAGACCCCTGACAATAAACTGAACGTTACTGTCACGACAGTAAACGTTTATTCAGAAGAATTGTTAGGAACATAATCTTCACACACACGAACGCGCGCGCGGGCGTATATAAATAAAAGTTAACCTAAACTCACTGAGTTTTGGTTTTACGCCGCTTTTAGCAATATTCCAGCAACATCACGGCGGGGGACACCAGAAATGGGCTTCACACATTGTACCCATGTGGGGATTCGAACCCCTTGTCTTCGGCGTGACGAGCGAACGCTTTAACCACTAAGCTACCCCACCGCCGGTAACCTAAACTCAAAATGAAACTGGAGTTCCGGAAGATTTAAAACTACAAATGTCATACTTTTTTCCATTGTAATTAAACTGTTTTTGATGTAATCCTAAAATGCTTTCACGGCTTCATCTTCATTATGTAAGCTTGAGTTCAGGTTCAGCATTTTCCAAAACTCCTTTTCCAGCTGAACTAGACTATCAATACCTAAAGGCGAAAAACTGTTCACTGCTTAGTCAAAACTCTTTCCCGTGGGGATAACGGCTTCTTCTTGTGTCTTTTTATAAGAATATTCAGTCAGCATTTGGGTTAATTCTGTCCTTAACATTTGGAGATAAAGACGTGACTAAATATACAGAAACTACGTTTAGTAGAGCAACTAATATTTTCATTATAGTCTGCCGGGGAGAGTAGTGTAAAAAGTTTTAAACAATGTGAATTGTTTGATATAATTGAAATTCGTCCTTTTCTGGGATTGCAAAATTTCAAGCTAATCCTTTGAGTTTTTTTATACCACTTGATTTCATCAAGAGTTATCGTCGATTTTTGAGACAGGGATTTGAAGGTAAATTTGCTGGGCCCTGCATTACATTTTACTTTGTTCGGATGTTTAAGAACAAATGTTTTCAGGTGTCAGAATAAAGACAGACACAATCACACACATTTAGCACCTGCTGCTATGGTAAAAAGGAGAACTAAATCCTCAATATGCTGGCGTTTGGGGCAAAGCCAAAATACAAGAAAGCGATTTCATCTAGTCAAATGTTCAGGTTTGTTCAAGATCGTCAAAATGTATTGTGTGGAACAATACACAATACATTTGTGTCAAGCATTAAGTATTTATGGTGTGATATTCAAACAGGGCATTAGTAGTAGTTTGTGAGTAGTACCGCGTCCTCTGCAGGAAACATCGATGTATCTCCACAGGGTTCAATCTCATTACATAATAGAGTCCATTTTACAACTCCATGCCAGCTCCATGAGAACATCAGGTCGCTCAGTGCACGCTTTTAGTCAGTTCAATTCCTGACACATATCTGTAGCTGTTGACTCGTGGAACCTCGACGATGTCCTGACGCCTCTACTGTGCGGCTTATGGAGATGTCGGGATTGCAAGGAGACCATGCATTGATGAGCCACTGCTGCAGCAATTGTCGTCAGTTCATACTAACACGGTTAGTGGGAGAGTAGCCCTATGTCCTGTACACACACGAGTACTGGTTGGTGTTGTCCTACCGTTGGTTTGAAGTAAACTGGCTTATGCCCCAATAAACACAACAACCGAATTACATCCTTCATGAATCTGTCCGTGTGTTTTTGAACGTTTCCATACTAACTAGTGATTGGGAAATAAGCCAATATTGTGGCGCAGATGTAATATATAACGACAAAAGCCTTTCCAATCCAAAAGAAATCTCTGACAAAATTAGAATGTCATTCTGTGGTGTTTCCGAAAACGACAAAGTTTAAAGAAAACAGACATAGTATACTGCACCATGCAGCATCGTACGAACCATAAGTGACTATCATACTTCATAATGAAACTATGTAAGAATTGGGGATTACCTTACTACACAATGAATCTTTGTAAGAATTGGGGATTTCCTTACTACACAATGAATCTTTGTAAGAATTGGGGATTACCTTACTACACAATGAATCTTTGTAAGAATTGGGGATTTCCTTACTACACAATGAATCTTTCTAAGAATTAGGGATTGCCATACTACATTATGAGACACTGTCAGAATTGGGGATTATCTCGCTACATAATACCACACTGTAAGAATAAGGGATAATCTTACTATACGGTGAAACTTTGAAAGAATTGGGGATTATCGTACCACATTAAAAAAACATTGTAAGTATTGAGGATTGTCATACTACATATTTTGACACTGTAAGAATTGGGGATTATCTTACGACACAATGAAACTGTCGATTATCTGACTACATAATAAAACATTGTAAGAATTGAGGATTGTCATACTACATAATGAAACATTGTAAGAATTGAGGATTGTCACACTACATAATGAAACATTGTAAGAATTGGGGATTGTCATACTACACAATGAAACTTTGTAAGAATTGAGGATTATCCTACTACATAAAAAAAAAACCCGTAAGAATTGGGGATTGTCATTCTACATATTTTGACACTGTAAGAATTGGGGATTATCTTACGACACAATGAAACATTGTAACAACTGTTGATTATCTGACTACATAATAAAACATTGTAAGAATTGAAGATTGTCATACTACATAATGAAACATTGTAAGAATTCGGGATTGTCATACTACATAATGAAACATTGTAAGAATTCGGGATTGTCATACTACATAATGAAACATTGTAAGAATTTGGGATTATCTTACTACACAATGAAACATTGTAAGAATTGAGGATTGCCATAATGAGACATTCTATGTCTTCAGGATTATCCTATATCATGATGAAGCTTTGTATGAAATATGGAGTATCATACCACATTTTGCAGGCTTGTAGGAGTTGGAAAGTATTAACCAACTAATGTGACATTAAGGGGATCATCATACTACACAAGACATTCTAAGAATGGGGTTCATCATACTACACAAGTCATTCTAAGAATGGGGAGCATCATAAAACGTAATGTTGCTCTTAAATAACTGATTCTGCACATGAGAGAATTTTATATATTATACGATGAAACCATTTATGACTCAAACATTATCCTAACACACAATGAAACCTTAAAACAATACAAAATAATGACAAAACGTCATGAAGAATATAGGGTTGATACACTATATCATGAAGCGTTTTATGGAAGAAGAGTGATTAACATATTACACAATAAAGCACTGACAGAGTGACACATTGTCTCACTACTTGTATGAATAGCATTGTAAGGAGGCCTGTGGGACTTATATACAATGTAACAAAGCACTGTGCAATAACATGAGTACATCATGTCATGCAATATTGTTTGATGAATACTGGATTATCATACTTAGTAATGATATCTTGAAAAAACAATTACTACTACATAATGCATGCTTGTAAGAACAATTAACACATGTACACATTCAGTGTGGAAAGCATACCGGAACTTCTAACCCCAAAAAATCGTTTGGAGAAACTGGGAATATCCGACTGTACAATGTATCATTGTAAACGAAACAGCAATATCCTACTGTACAATCAATCATTGTAAGTAGACAATATGGAACAGGAGACTACACAATTCATCACGCTAGGCATATCAGAGCATATCAGAGCACAGAGATAAATCACTGTCTGATAACTTTACTGGTGTTAGTATAAAGTATGATTTAACTGAGACCATGTGTAAAACATGCAGGATGTTTTCACTGTAGAAGTCGTGTACTGCAAGAAGTATGTGTCTCCTTCACTGTAGAACCACAGCTGGACCTATCTCAGTATGCTGCATGTAGCCACAGTTCCATGGAACAAGAAGAAAACTGAAACTAATACTAACATGTACATCAGTTTTAATACAAAATATAATTCACACACAGTGAGAGATAAACAGTCTCATATTCCTGTGAATCAGAAAAATTCACAAAAGTGAAATTGAAATCTTTATAACTTTTTGTCAGCACAATCACTCCACGGCAGGTTTAATCTGGAATAAAAACATCACAAACAATGTTTACTGTGTAAACAAAGCCCCAATTAATGTCCAGGTGTTACACTCAACATCTGACTCACTTTCTCCTTCGTGTTGCATGACTTAACTAGTCTTAGTTACAGAGTGAGTGAGTGAGTTGGGTTAAATGTCAACATGTACATCGGTTGTATCTGGCCTTCAGTATGTTCTTGGAGCCCACAGTGACTTATGTCTGTTATGTTATCTTCTTTGGTGAAAACAAGTGCATGGCAAATGCACCTGAAGGACAGGCAGATCTGGGAAGTGAACCCTAAACTGCCATTCTACAAACAAATAACAACACCTACTGTACTACCCCTACCCCAGCTTAAGGAGCAATAACGTTGTGCAGTATAAAACCTTCATCTTTTTTAAGGGAGGATAAACATATGACAGACCCTAGGGGAGGGTCATGATAAATAATACACATATTTGGGCAGGGTCAAGAAAAACTCACACACATTTAATAATAAAATACAAAGTTCATTTGCAGTTTGTCTCTTCGGGGAGTGTCATGAGAATATATACAAGGACATAGGGAGGGTCATCCCAATGTGACAAGCATTTGGAGAGGGTCATTATTTTTCCCAATGGTGGTGCATCTGAAGCCTCTGCCCCATCCACACTTGTAATAGATCCAACTGCCCTTCCTCTCCCTCTCCCCACAGTGCTACAATAGTTGAGTAAAGTAGGGGCAGAAACTGGGTAACAGGGAGAACTAAATAGGACGTCAGTGCACCACAATACTCAGTCTTGACTATCCTCAGAAATATTGTATATCTCTCACAATGTAACAAGACATCTCATCACAACATCATTCCCAGCAACAAACATCATAGTGGTGACAGAAAGGCTTCCTCTCCTGCGAGCAGTATCAAAGTGCATGATTGTAGGTTAACTAGACACTGACCCTCAGAGACAGTTGAAATATAGCATTATGAGCTGATAGCTGATGAAATCATGTCATGAAGTTTAAATGATACTGCCAAAGAAATGAAGACATGACACAGTTCCTTCCTATTATGTACGTCTATCAAATGGTTACTACAAGACATACTCAGAGGAAACAACTGCTAATTGAATCTCTTACTCTAAATGGTAAATACATCCACTGTGGCAAACTGTTGGACATTCATTGTGAAATACACAGGCATGTTCAACCAACTGCTTACCTGGTGGTGTCTTGGTACAAACAACAGCAGCGTCACATTACCAATCAGGTATTTGCTGTAATTGTCTTATTCACACATTACACATATTCTTGTCCTTCATACTGGCTGTACAGTAGGTACTCAAACTAAATCATCCTACGAAATAGGACAGCACAGAAATACTGTAATACCGATGACTTTATAGAAACTTTTGGCACAGTTTCTGATAGGAAATGAATTCTGTTGAATATCAGACGGCTAAACACAATCAATAAATATATCATGTGATTTACTAATAATAACGTTATTAAACTGTAAAACTCCCATCAGGTTTTTAACCGTCGATATGAACATCAACACAATACCACCAGCTGCAGCTGATGTGTACAGATTGGTAAAGCAGTGCACAATGGACATGAAAAACTGGCTATAATTCATTTTGGCAATATAATCAATAAGATGAAATGCTGTGGCAATCAGTTGGAACAAATAATTATAAATGCTCTGTTCCAAAGTTTCATGTAAAATGTATAGATAATTGTATTTACAATTCTTAATAAATACATTGAAAACCTCCCTGACAAGGCCTGGGTTACAAGTGCCACTTTGTGAATCCTCGTCACTTGAAATAATGAAATATCACCATTACTAACAGAATCTGTCAAACAGGTGACTGCAAGGGATTATATTTAAAAGTGGATGCACCCTAACTGGGCAAATAGAGAGTAAAAAAATATCAACATGATTCTTTTTCTTTTGGTTAGTGCTAGCAAGTTATGTTTGCTGCACACGCAGCTAAATGTTGCTGCCCGCAGTCATTGTTAGCAAACTGTATAGGTCATGAAATGAACTTTTGGCATTTTTTTTATTGGAAGTAATATTATAGCTGGAATGGCTTGGTTACACTTCATATGTATTAGCACACATGCAACCATTTTGCTAATCAATAATTGCCTTACTAATAATTGTGTGATACTATTTCAAATGGCAAGGATTACAGAATCCTACATCACAGCGTGTCAGCAGTTTCTGGTCATGGTGGGAGATTGAACCCTCAGCGCCATCACTTAGACTCGAGGTATTTGTGACAGTCCCGAGCGTTGGTGCCCCGCCTCTTCTGTGTCAGTAGGTTGCCCTTCTCAGGGTGCTTCAGGGCATGGAATCTCCACGCTTGGGCAAAACTGTCAACCTGCAACAACAATGCCAACTCCATGGATTTCAATTTAAGTAATTCAGCTACTCCAACTTAACGAATCATTTATCCTACTCATCTTTCCATGGGGATATTGAGATATATCCCAGGGATATTTCATATTGTTATGAAACTCAGAGATCAACTGGGAATATGATAATACTTCTATTACACTCCAGCTGTCAACCCCAAGGCATAATCAACTCCTCTACACATGAAACCAGGCAACAGTTCCACCTGGACGTCTCTGACTATACCTATCATAGGCTGAGTAGGCTCATGCTACATTTATATGAAGCCCCAAACTCCCTCCATGTTAATGAGGATGCTTAAAACGTAACAAGTTGCTTAACTTGGACACTTAAAACTTGGATAAACTTGTTGATAGGAAGTAACTTGTGGTCATCCATTTACAGAATCAGAAAGGTAATGAGAAGTGCAGGGATTTTATGACTCTTCTTTTACATGTCAACATCCCGCAATCTGTAACTATCACCATCGGCTGTGACAAGGGACATAACTGTTAACAGTAAGCTTGGTACAGCTCACAGTTGTATTCATTTATATCAGAAGACCAAAGTGAACACATTAGTTACACGTCTCATATAAGACTATGTCTTATAGTGGTCAAAGTGGGATTACAGCATAGTTTATCCAACCTGATGTAAGAATGTCCATCTCTGATTGGTTCACGTGACCTTGAACAAATTACCACGTATGCCCGGTGCACGGCCGTACACCGCCCAAGAGAGGTATAAATCTTTGCAAGGGAGAATAAGTCATTTATACCCGCCCCATGGAAAAAACATGCATCCACGGCAGTCAGTGAACCGCGAACCAGTGGTTCGGATCGACTAGTCAGTACCATCTGAACTGATGCAGGTCCTAGAAGCTGATGAAAGCCATGGGCCCAGGTAAGTTGCTGACGAGCAGTGACACATCATCAGGGCAAACCAGGAGCACATGACCATGTGTCTCACATCCTTCAATATATAAGGGACACAACAAATGGTGACATTTCAGTTTGGGAATCTCGCTGGTATCATCATGGTAACAAAGAACTGGCATCAAACATTGTTCATAAAAATTGTTTCCTTCTGAATTGAGCAATATTCACCAAATAGGCCTATGAATAATCATGTAAGAACCAGACAATCCAATGATCAAGACTGTGAGAAATGATCCACACCATCACCCAAGTCACAGAGCTTGACTACCTGACACATTTGGTCGCCTCTTCAGACCAACACACATTTCTGGGGACCTATACTAACTCGGAATTACCAAAGAGTTACTGGCTCATAGAAAGGCTGTATGGGTGGATTGTTCAGTACATTTCTAAACAGGCACATGCCCCTGTGACTTGTGTCACAAAGACAATCTCACAGCTGTTTCCCTTCTTGGCTGGAGATAGACAATAGATACAGTCTCAGAACACGGATGACAATAGCAGCTCATATCTGTGTCCACTTACAACTTGGAGCACCACAAAACATTTGGGGATACAACGGTACATTTGTCAGAGCTAGGAGAGCAAGGTGTCTCAGAGCATATATATATTGTTTAGGTTCACAAAGACCTATTTGCTTGTACTAAGGTCACGTTTCACTTTCCTTAATAGGCCGGGGATTGCACACACCACCATGTACATGTAAGGCTGGACAAAATTGTAGCCATGTGACTGAAACATTGTAGGCATGTGACTGAAACATTGTAGGCATGTTACTGAAACATTGTGGACATGTGACTGAAACATTGTAGGCATGTAACTGAAATATTGTAGGGGTGTGACTGACTGACTGACTGAGTTTGGTTTTACGCCGCTTTTAGCAATATTCCAGCAACATCATGGCAGGGGGCACCAGAAATGGGCTTCACACATTGTACCCATGTGGGGAATCGAACCCGGGTCTTCGGCGTGACGAGCCAACGCTTTAACCACTAGGCTACCCAACCGCCCCAGGCATGTTACTGAAACATTGTAGGGGTGTGACTGAAACAATGTAGGCATGTGACCGAAACATGGTAGGCATGTGACTGAAACAGTGTAGGCATGTAACTGAAACATTGCAGGCATGTGACTGAAACATTGTAGGCATGTGACTGAAACATTACCGGCATGTGACTGAAACATTGTAGGCATGTGACTGAAACATTGTAGGGGTGTGACTGAAACATTGTAGGGGTGTGACTGAAACATGGTAGGCATGTGACTGAAACATTGCCGGCATGTGACTGAAACATTATAGGCATGTAACTGAAACATTACTGGCATGTGACTGAAACATTGTAGGGGTGTGACTGAAACATTGTAGGTATGTGGCTGAAACATTGTAGGCATGTGACTGAAACATTGTAGGCATGTGACTGAAACATTGCAGGCATGTAACTGAAACACTATAGGCATGTAACTGAAACATTGTAGGCATGTGACTGAAACAATGTAGGCATGTGACTGAAACATTATAGGCATGTCACTGAAACATTGTAGGCATGTGATTGAAACATTGTAGGCATGTGATTGAAACATTACCGGAATGTAACTGAAACATTGTAGGCGTGTGACTGAAACATTGTAGGCATGTAACCGAAACATTGTAGGCATGTGACCGAAACACTGTAGGCATGAGACTGAAACATTGCAGGCATGTGGCTGAAACACTGTAGGCATGTGGCTGAAACACTGTAGGCATGTGACTGAAACAATGTAGGCATGTAACTGAAATATTGTATGGTATGACTGAAACATTGTAGGCATGTGACCGAAACATGGTAGGCATGTGACTGAAACATTGCAGGCATGTGACTGAAACACTGTAGGCATGTGGCTGAAACACTGTAGGCATGTGACTTAAACAATGTAGGCATGTAACTGAACTACACCTGACTTACTGGGTAATAGCCTGTGATTATTCAGGGGTGCCAAACTGACTTACTGGGTAATATATTGGATTATTCAGGGGTGCCAAACTACTCACTGGAATGAATCCATCCTTCTTGTTCTCTGTCTCCAAGGTGGAGAGTTCCTCAGGAGACAGCAGAGGCAGTCGGATGTACTTAACAACAGCTTTACCAATGTCAGCTACTGGCTTCCCCATCACAACCTGAGATAAGGACGTGTTGAAGATGCAGGCATGGACAGATAATGTGTTAACGTGTACATTGATAATGAAAACAACATTGCTGTAATCTCACAGCTCAGCTGTATGTCAGCATGTATACAAAACAAACAGATATTCGGAAATGTCAAGCACTGGGAAATGCATTGTAAAACTGGATTTATTCCATTCTATGGTTTATCGTATATGTATTCTGAGATTTATTCAAAACAAAATATCTTTAGAAAAATAATCCAAAAGACATGCTTAACAGTTTGTTTTTTGTTGAGACCTGGCTAACATTGCACACATCATTATCAGGGTTTTTAACTGGGAATTAATGTCAGGCAATTTGGCATACAGATATACCAAAAATGATTATTGGTATGGTGTACAAGTATTCTGACATGTGTCTGATAAAAGGGTATAAACAGTTCCATTTTTATTTGTGTGTTCCAAATCAACCCTTTCCATGCTGACATAGGTCAGTGTAGAAAGTACTCACAGAGTTGACAGTGGCCCACTCCTTGACTGCTCTGTACAGGTCCATCTCGTCCATCTGAAGCAGGTGGCTGCACAGCACCGTCGACATTGCCTCCTCACCAATCTCCTGGAAACCCTTCGACTTGAACACATTCTGAAACAAATGCCTGTTACTAGAAACAGCTGACACTTTACATGAACCAAGTTTAAAACACAAAATGTAGATAAGATTTACCAACCAGCATGCCCCTTGAATAATACTGAGAAAAGTGAAAAATGCCTCATGCCTCACTTTTGTCTCAATATTTCATCAAAATTTGAAAAATATTTAAATGTGTCCTTAAAACCCCATGACAGGGTGGTTAACTGCCAAGTGTATGTATATGAATGTGGTTTGATCACTGCTACTCACAACTGTATTTTGCTCTATGAACTCTACAGTCTTGTTCTTGAGGTCGTCTTGACCGTATGTGACCGCAGCCTGCAACACGTCACATGCATTGCCCACTGTCAGGTTTTCTACCAAGTACTGGGAGCACAACTGAAACACAAGCAGAGATAAATATGAAGAACTGCATTGAAGACAAGCCATTGTAGACAACAATTTGAAATATTCCAATAAATACATGTCAATGTAGATATGCCATTGAACATAAGCCAATAAAGATACATATTAAAAATATGTCATTGGACATCTGACTGAAGGTTTGGCATGGATGATGTGGAATGTCAGATTGATACTTTTATGAAACTCTATGAGTCTCACCACCTTCAGGAATATAGAAGCCATACCACAGTAGGGAAACATGGTGGAATCAAACCCAGATCACTGATGTTATCCAGCACGTTTAGCACCAAGCATATACATGGTATTTCTGAAACTAAATCTGTCTTGTGTTATGTACAAAGAATTTGAATGATTAAATAATGTTACCTTCTTGAGATCATCAAGTCCATATTCCAGAGCTGTTGCCAGGACGTCTATTGCCTGAATAACATAAACAGGACTCAGGCAAGGTGTTACTGAAGTTCGTCCTGTATATTAAACCATGACTGACAGTAAATTAAATTAACGGTGACAGATGCTAAATGATCAGGATGATGATTGGATTTCAAAGTTACAGGTGAATCTTGAAATATACTAGTACACAAAAGAAATTAAAAAACACCCATTATTTTCATATAATTATAGTTCATCTGCCCTGGCCATGAATAAATCAGGTCATATGAAGATAGAGGTGTTCTTTAACTTCTGTTGAGAGAAAGGGTCAATTTGTCTGTAGTCAGTTTTTGTGTTCAACTATTTATGTGTTTTGTACACTGAAGTGATGTTTTGAATTACTTATATAATGCACTATAGTACGAATTAAAACAATACCCCTTACAGTGATAGCTTTACACAAAAAGGAAACAAGATACACACGTATTGTTTTTGTGACTCACATTTTTGGATGATAGGTGGACACAATTGGTGTATATAAACTCCAACATAGTGAGGAATATCTCTGGAGACATGTCTGACAGCACAAACGGAACATCTTTGTCAGCACCAGAATTCTTGGCATTTTGGTTTTGCTCCTCAAACATGGCCTTGAAGACAGCACAGCGGGAGGACAGGATACATCGATGTGCATACACTGTCTTCCTGTTGGACCCCAGTAAGAACTTTAGATCACTGCAAAAGAATAAACAGAACAATTATCATTACCATACGTTGTTAAATGATCATTTGTCTGATGGTACAAAGTGTTGGTCTCAATTGAATAGTCTGCCATATAATGGTTGATTCCTCATCACTCTAGCATGCCAGGGCATCCTTTATCATATAATTTAGATAATTTCAAATTTCATAATTTCTTTAGAAATGCTAGATACATATTCTTAGGATTTAGATTAGGCGAAGATAACATGATCTCAGGGATATGACGTTTAACTCAGGTACTTGAGTCATGTGGGTACAAAGTAGGACCCGGGTACCCACAGGACTATCTGCACCTATTGTTAGTCATGTGATAGATTGTCTGATGACAAATATTCACTATAACTCTATAGTTACATAACAAAAACTAATGTTCACATACCTTTCTGACCATGCATGCATTCCTTCTGACTTATATATGTTTGAATAAAGATAAAACTTCAGTCTTTACTTCACTGTAAAGCATGACAAGGACATTTTACACATGTATCAAAATACATTTTGGCAGGGCTCCAGTAAAATTCCCAACCAGACATTTTGTACTCAACTCTAAAAGTGTGCAAATTTAGACTCATCCCTGTCCAGCATGTTCTGCTCCAGGTCTAGGTATAAAATTAACCTATCAGTATCATCAGGGTAATATTTACTGTTAGTCCAAGGACAAAAACAGATAGAGGCACACTGGACAGCCATATCCAGATCTAGACTCCAGGGCCAGATTTTGGGGATCTCTTAGCTATAGTCTAGATACAATACCATTAACTTATCTTAGTGGGTGTCTAGAGATTGTGGGTGTGACAAGGGGTGTCCATCTATCCCTGTCTTTTTAGACTATGGTAGATTTTACTGACTGTGTATTGATAAATAATTGATATTCATATCTGGGACTCTGCAGATTAACAAAATGTTCATGAAAGAATATTTGATTATCCAGCATTTATTGTCAATAACTGATCAGGAGGTTTCATGTTAAATCTCATGCATTGGTACGTGTAATAATCTCTACCTTTGATTTACATTTGACATAATTTTAGTGCAAATACACAATTACACAGAAAAGCGCCCTGATCATGATATTTCCAGAATGAGATATATCCAGGTGCTTTCACATAAATCATAACAACTTAGAAAAATTCCAAAAGTGTAGCAATTGGGTGCCAGTCAAACCGCCCCAGCTACAAAACGCCCCAGCCAATTTGGTCAAAATGCCCCAGATTTTTGGTCAAATCGCCCCAGGTTTGGTCAAATTGCCCCAGGGGGGTAGTCAAAATGCCCCAGTGTATTTAAAATGATTAAATATATGCCATAGTTTTTGTCAACTTCCATATTATATACTTCGTATAATATTATATAGTAATATTTCTGATAGACTTTCTATTAGTAAACTGATGAGAGCAAAAGTAATATTCATGTATAGACAACACTATAATACCAATTATTTGCATGTTATTAATGGAATAAAATGAAATGTTTGTATAAAATGTTTATTGGCCATAAATGCATAGTTTTTGTCAGCAAGTATGGTATAATACTTATCAAAACAATCTACAGCTTTTGTTATTATTAATTAATCTTGTCAAAAGGTGAGGCCGTAAATGCATAGATTTTCTTAACAAGTATGGTATAATGCTTATCAAAACAATCTAGAGTTTTTGTTAATTAAACTTGTCAAAAAGTGTGGATAAAAACAGGCTATTAAAACATGTTCACTAATTGACATTCAATGCTTTGTTTAGTTAAAGGAAATGTTGAGGCTCGAATGTATGAACATTTCAGGCTATAAAAACATATTCACTAATTGACCATCACCTATCGAGATTCAAAAATGTAATTTTGAACGATTCGAATATCTACAGTCATTTTGACTTAGATTTCGGTAGCAGATTTTGTCTAATCATACATTCTCGTCTCCAACTTGACTGTAGTGACCTTAATGCGCACAAGTATGAAAGATTTATATCTCCGACATCATCTTGCTCTTGTGGCCGTAACTATGAAGACTCTGCTATCTAGTTCTTTTCATGTACTCTTTACAACGATATACGTCAAATTATGTATTTTTATACTAAAGGATTTGACCTAAAATCAATTTTGTTTGGAAACCAACGCTGCTCCTCAATAGTACACAAAGAACTTTTAATTTCAGTGCACTCTTTTATAAATTTAACAGGCAGATTTGATCCAAAATATTTTGTTTATATGACATATACCGTTTAACAATGATAGGCGTTATTTCTCGTTTTTGCAACATTTATATATCATTCACATTGTACATTCATCATGACGAGTTTATTCTTCCTTCCATTGTGTCCCAGAGCGGTATTCATATAAGCTTATGCTTGTTTACCAATCCGGTTCCTTTCTTTGGAAATAAATATGTTTAAATACTTGTTATGATTACATAATGCCATTTGTTGACCAAAAACTATTTACAGCCAATAAACATATTATACAAACCTTTCATTTTACTCTTGTAATTCTTCACCAAATAATTGGTATTATAGTGTTGTTTATGTACATGAATATTACTTTTGGTCTTATCAGTTTACTAATAGAAAATTTATCAGAAATATCACTATATAATATTATATATAGAATATAATATGGAAGTTGACAAAAACTATGCATTTGTGGCATATATTTAACCAATTTAACTACATTGGGGCATTTTGACTACCCCCCTGGGGCAATTTGACCAAACCTGGGGCGATTTGACCAAAAATCTGGGGCATTTTGACCAAATTGGCTGGGGCGTTTTGTAGCTGGGGCGATTTGACTGGCACCCTTGCAATTATCCAACAACCACAATCAGCCAGATTCTAGTAATTCATTACTCAGATCACAACAATTCAATGAATACATAGTTACTCTAAAAGTGAGTGTAACACTATTGTAGCTGCATTATTATGTCGTCAGAATATATGCAGTTGCATTATGTGCATGTATGGTTTACAGCAGCGACTCCGCTATTTGTAAACACCATGTTGACAGGCTCACCTGTGTTCTTTGGAGTTGACCAACTTTTTCATCTGTACCGCAAAATCTGACAAGTCTCCTTTCATACATCTCTCGCTGGATGCCATTGTTCCTCCTCCAAAAGTATGTATTTAAATGACCTGTTGTCAGTTCAAAATCAGCGGACTAGCTTAGTTTATGTTGTTGTCAAGCACGCACCTGCTATATTTTAGTACTTTTTGCAAGACGACAAAATAGTGAGATACTAACCATTTAACGAATACATTAACAGACGGTCGTGTTTCTCAGCGTGGTTATGCCTTTTGATGACAAAAAATGCGTTCGGTCATTTCAAACATAAAATTACATTTTGTACTGGCGTTTGGAATATATCACTGATCTAAATAAGAACGACAAAAATAAACAAAACAGTAAAACAACAACCCCCAAATAGAAGATCATAAACCACAACGGCCACCTCTCGGCAGTAACAGTTTGACAATACAAAGTAATTAGTATTGTTTTAGTTGTTTATCTTCATGCCAGTCATATATTTCCACCAAAATACGTATCCAGAGGTCGAAATGGCTGGCGAACACAGTCTCGTCTACCATTGCGGATACACATATATTTTTTTTCAAATAGGTATACTGATTTTTAAAAAAAGCACATGATGAAAGTGGATCGCTTAACAAGCAAACAATGCTTATGCTGTAGAACCTCTCCAGACGAGATCTGTACTCATTACCCAAAAAGGAAAATAATCTGAATGACATGGAAGTGTATTTGTGAACGTCGGTAATGCTTACATCAAGTTGATACTAACATCTACGAAGATGATGCCTAAAATGCCTGCTTTACATCACCACCAACTGTAATAACTGACAACAGTAAAACAGAGACACATGCTGCTGTGTCCTAAAGACAACCACAACTCCCGGGGTGGATGGGGAAACTGAAACTGATGGGGAAACTGAAACGAGGCTCCACCAGTAGATGGTAGATCATAATGTATTGGAAGGGAAATGCCGCACACATATAACACTTTTAAACCAAACCCTCCCGATTTATCACTCGTTGCTTTGAAGGAACAAAACAAAGCACTGAATGAAGCATTCAGAAAATCACGTCCGATTGTACTTAAAAACACAAACGAACACAATAACAAATGCAGTTCACCAATAGCAAAAACACCCATGGTCTAAATTCATTCAAAGGAAACAAAAAATAATTAATTTCGGTTAATGACAATGATAATGATGATGATAATGAGATTACCATAGTATGTCATCAACTTTTGATCACTGTCTTGGGTGAAGACACGTAATATTTTACGAATGCTTTGATGAATATTCTGTTCGAATAACGTTTGTAATAGGTAAATTACTATACTCCAAAAGTACAATTGAGGGGCGGATAACTCTGATTTATTGTAATGTGATTGAAAAGTTCAGCAAGCGAAAGACTGTTGACAGTCGCCCTTCGTTCATCTCTCGAACAGTGCCGTTACTATTTCATTTCAGTTAACATCCGACTAAATTTGAAATTCATGCGAATAGTAAATAAGGAAGGATAAGTAAAATATGGGACAAACAGCTAAATTTACTGCAGTTAAACACATTTTGCTTCAGGAGATATGAATAAACACGATTGCTTTAATCGGTGCTTTATGTTTTCGATTGATTAACTCAAGATACGAATGCAGTACGAATGGTACTTTGTCTATGTACTGTGCTGGACAGATATAAAGTGAGCTAGGTAGTGTGAGAAATGTCGGAACATGGTGAAGGCGGTAGTGATCATGAGCTTGACCTGCCCTTGTCAGCTAACATTTGTGATGTCAGGGTGTCTCACTTTCTCCTCCATCTCAAGTGTGATGTGGAATCTAGAAAGTTGTCAGGCGACATCACACTATTCTATCAACAGGAAAGCTTTAAACTAGACTGTAAACGTAAGACTGTATTACAAGCAGATACTGAACTAAAGGCTGTGGAAACTAGCTGTGAAAGCCATTCCCAACTTCAGGCAAACACTGACCCAAGCCCATCATCTGTACATGATCCTGCACTGAATGAACTGTGTCAACATGAGTGTGTTTGTAAAGAAACTGAAGATTGCTCAAAGACTAAGAACATACATAATGATGATTGTGTTGTTGATCAGCCTTCATCAAGCATACACAGTAGAAGTACATTAGCTCAGTGCTCAGATCAGAATGTTCTTCAATCTGTTTCTGCTTCAACTGAAACAGAAACTAAAAATTCATCACTAAATATTCCAAGTCCTAGCCAGGATGCAGTCAAGATGGTATTAGATGCTTATAACCTTGATGTGACCTGTGCAGAGGAGCTGATACTGTCACCTGATCTGGAAAGAAAGCTGTTCTTCGCCAAACGAGATGATGTAGAAAGTGCATCTGGTATTTATATGCAGTGTTACATGCAATCCAAAACCAGACCGTTGCAATTCAGTGTCAGTAAACAGAGCATCCGACTATGGGGTGGAGGAGGAGACATGGATGAAGATTGTCAGTCTCGGACAGGGCCTGGTGAGAGCAGGCTTCGCCATCTGCAAGGAGACGTTATTAGTGAAGGTGAGCTACAGCCTACAGACAGTGATGCTTCACTAGAGTCTGGTGCAGATGGAGGGGGTCTGGCTTGTAAAAGGACATGGGAAGGAGACAAAGTTGATGCTGCACATCATGTATCTGACGGTGGTGAAGGTCACATACACACAGATGAAGGAGTGGCAAGAGTCGTGAGGATACACTACAGTACAGAGGGAGGGCCATCACTGAAGTGGTCTCTGGATCAGGATGGAAGGTAGGCAGTGCAGTCTTGGTGACGGTGTCAGTGATCTTGCCTTCAACTAATGTGTCTTTTGTAATGTGTTTGCAGGTTTTGTGAAAAATATGTTATTCAGCAAAGGTTAAAATAGCCTAATATGATTCAATCTAAAGGTTAAAATAGCCTACTTGTTATAAAGTACTAAGGCTACTATGAAAAACTGCATTGATATTTGCAAACAGTTTAGATCATGGCCTTTATCATGACTTTTTAACCATTGACATATACAAACCGATGACATCTTGTGTGATGGAACAGGAAAGTTCTTTTGAGATTTGTATTGTCTCTGGCTGGTGAAAAACTGCATTCATAGATTCATTGCCTAAGCTGGATCTTAAGCATCATGTATCCTGGCCTTGATGTCTGACCTTGTCTGGTCAGTTCAGTGGACCCCAGTATTCCCATCAGTCTTTAGAACTCCAACTTTCCCTAAGACCTGCCTTATTGGGTGTGATGTGGTTTTATCACTTGATTATCCTGCATGTTGGAATCAGACATTTTCCTTAGTGCTGGCTAATAAAGGTCCTCCTTAGACCATGTTCAACTCTCTGTTCCCCTCTTCAACTTGCTGCCCACCTCTCAGCACTGGCAAAGAAAGGATCCTCATCTTCTGAAGTTGAAACCATGTCCACATGGATGGTTGTTGTAGCTAGCACTTCCAGTTAGAGAGGAGCAGTGGGGTAGCCCAGTGGTTAAAGCTTGTCACGTCGAAGATCCAGGTTTGATTCCCCACATGGGTACAATGTGTGAAGCTCATTTCTGGTGTCCCCTGCTATGATATTGCTGGAATATTGATAAAAGCACTCACTCACTCCAGTTGGAGATGCTTGATATCAGCACCTGCAGATATATACTGTCTGTAGTGTAGTTGGTCCTAAGCTTGGATTGTAATGAAAGCTTATTTATAGTGTTCACTGGTGTACATCCTTTGTAAATGTTCTCAGAACTTTTGGACACCTCATGCCCAGCAGTTTGAGGACTGAAAACAAAGGGACTGAAAACTGCTGTAAACAAATCTGCTGTTTCTTTATTCTTCTTATTGACAGGATATTTGGTTGAGCAACACATGATCCATTTGATCCAAAGTTTATATTGCTGTCTTCTTTGCTCTTACTCCCTGATATTCTAATTGTAATATTTATTGACACTAGTCAAGACAGTCCCAAAACAAACATGTTAAATTTGTTTAAAATAACTCTCATTGCAGCACTCCCCCTTTTTAGGACCTGGTAAATAGCTGATAAAAATGATATAATTTGGAATTTTTATATTTCTGTCTTCAATGGCATCAAATAAAACCCAAATATTTCAAACAAATGTTCCCACAGTAAAATAACCAGATAATTCTTTTGATCCATTATAGACTTAGCAAGCTGTAGTAGTATTAAACATCAGGACATATTGGACTGTTTCCAGGGAGTGTATGTTCACTGTTGGTCACTGGCTGAACAACCGCTCCTGGTTCCCCAGTCAGGACGCCCCGACTGCCATGTCCACCTGGCAAGCTTGTGTCACAGTCAAGGAGGGACTGACTGTGCTGATGACTGGAGACAAGTCCTGTACACCATCAGTATCCCAGGGTGAGTCCCTTACACCATCAGTATCCCAGGGTGAGTCCCTTACATCATCAGTATCCCAGGGTGGGTCCCATACATCATCAGTATCCCAGGGTGAGTCCCATACACCATCAGTATCCCAGGGTGAGTCCCATACACCATCAGGATCCCAGGGTGAGTCCCTTACACCATCAGTATCCCATGGGTGAGTCCCATACACCATCAGTATCCCATGGTGAGTCCCATACACCATCAGTATCCCATGGTGAGTCCCATACACCATCAGGATCTCAGGGTGAGTCCCTTACACCATCAGTATCCCATGGTGAGTCCCATACACCATCAGTATCCCATGGTGAGTCCCTTACACCATCAGTATCCCATGGTGAGTCCCATACATCATCAGTATCCCATGGTGAGTCCCATACACCATCAGTATCTCAGGGTGAGTCCCATACACCATCAGTATCTCAGGGTGGGTCCCTTACACCTTCAGTATCCCAGGGTGAGTCCCTTACACCTTCAATATCCCAGGGTGAGTCCCTTACACCTCCAGTATCTCAGGGTGGGTCCCTTACACCTTCAGTATCCCAGGGTGAGTCCCTTACACCTTCAGTATCCCAGAGTGAGTCCCTTACACCATCAGTATCCCATGGTGAGTCCCATACATCATCAGTATCCCATGGTGAGTCCCATACACCATCAGTATCTCAGGGTGAGTCCCATACATCATCAGTATACCCCAGGGTGAGTCCCATACACCATCAGTATCTCCAGGGTGAGTCCCATACATCATCAGTATACC